CCTAGGAGGTAGAGATGAGTTTCCTTGGCTGAGACTCTGTAAATATAAATTCTCCTTACCTCTTCCATCTCCTCATACATTTACTTTATCATAGTGAGGGTCCCTCTCTCATCCTTCCTTTCTGCTGCTGGTGATGCTGTTGTAATGGTCAAACAAACTCTCTCCCTCATGAAGACAAAAGAAGTTGAGCTATGAGCTCAGGCGCCTGTTGCCCTTTAAGCTGAGGCTACTGTCCGGGATTGTGGGAAGTGGCTAGAGTTTAGGTTTCTGCCACCCACCACTGCAACCTCTCCATCCTCCTGTGGCCTTTAACATACCTTGAGGCAGGCTGGAGAAGCAGCAGAGAGCTGGTATTAGGAACAGAGACTTGAAAGAGAAAGAGGGCAGGGAAAATGAAAGCAATGAAAGAGATGAATGGGATGGAATGTAGTGTGAATGAAGTGAAGGAAGTACAAACAGGATTTGAAAAGGAAGGAGTATGGAAGGGGTTAGGAACAATGCTCCCGCTAAGATGTGGAGTCTTGTGAGCAAAAATTCAACCTTGTGAGCTAGTGTCATGAAAGTTGTGAGCGTGCAATTTGGCTACTGCATAAATCAGTTTGCTTTGGAGCCATCCTTCCTGAGCTAAGACAAAAATGTGTAAGCCAGAAGCTAAAAAACTGTGAGCTAGCTCACACTAACTCAGCTTAGAGGGAACACTGGTTAGGACGTGTGGTAGGAAGTGGGCACAAAGAAACACACTGGCTGGGACCACATTGCCTATGGGTGCCACATTGAGGGATTGATGATTTAGAGCAATTAAGGGGAGAGGGAGAAGTTATGAGCGAAATGCTTTATAGCAATGGGATGCAGAGAAATAGCATGTTAAGGTAACAAATGATTGTACCCTCTAAGGATTGGGATTCAGTAATAAAACCAGCCTTCATTCTGTGGTGTTTCTGAATGCATCTTTGCAATACTATCACTGAATGCCCTTCCTTCTCCTCCTTCCAGCTATAGGCATGTGTGGTTGTGTGACTTCCGTGGGACATTGGCCAGATACATTTGGGATTCAGCCAATATCTGAATGACCTGGCATTAGATAGAATTTAACAACATTTCCTTTTGCCCAAACTGGGGGCTGCAGGACCTTTGATAATAGAATAGAAAGTGTTTTTGTGTGTGTGTGTGTCAAGCCCCCTTCTGTTTCTGTGCTGCAAAACTACTTAGTGCAGTGATTCCCTTTGGAGAAACACATCAGCGATCCTGTACCTTATGCTAAAGCACTATTTCCTTCCTCTTTGTGGCGTCTTTCAGCATTCCCAGCATGCTGTGCTGTTTTCAGGTCTGTGAGCAAGCATACCAGGTGAAGCTTAGCATCTCAATTGGGGAGGCTTTATACACTATTTTTCTGATGACAAGAAATTTGGCAAGACATGAAAGGTAGCACAAATGTATTTTACACTGCTGGAACACAAAGCAAGTAATGGAAATGTCAATTTCCCAGTATTTGCATTTGCAGTACAGAAAATGCTCTCGTCTTTCATATAGTACAAATTACGTGGAATCCTCCCCTGCACAAAGTGATCTTGTTGGAAAAAGTTATGTATATAAAAATAATAATGAATAAAGCAGTAAGAGTTTAATACAGTGGAAACTTTCCAGGCTGCTGATGGGATATCCAGAATGTTTGGTTTAATTGGAATGCAGTGCATCTTAGAGCTGATGTGTACGTTCAGGGGGAAAAAACCATATGATGTAGCCCTCCTAGGAATGTACTGCTGCAGAATGCAGGCAGGTGATCACATGGCTGAATGCAACACCCAAATGCCCCAGCAATGGAGGGGAAAATCTAAGCCTTCCTCTGACACCAGTAGAAGCTACAGTTGTCCCTCGTTACTTGCAAGCATTTTTTTGCTTCCACAATCATCTTCCGCAGTACCACTTGTCCTTTTCTTGAAGGTGGTTATAGCTAATCGAGGTGACTTCCTGGGATATTTTCTCTCTACTGTGATTCAAAATCAGGGTGGTGCCCTTCAGGGACTGACTCCCGGGACAGAGTTTGGGGATCTTAATCACAATTTTGTAAGACTACCCTGTGCATAATCCTTGTTCTTTTTTGCCCCAATGAAAATGTCTGCTCTGCCCAGGCTTGCCCAATCTTGTCAGATCTCAGAAGTTAAGCAGGGTGGCCCTGGTTAGTATTTGGAAGGGAGACCATCAAGGAAATCTAGGGTTGCGATGCAGAGGCAGGCAATGGCAAAATAAATAAATAAATAAATAAATCACCTCTGAACATCTCTTGCCTTGAAATTCCTGCAGGGTCGCCATAAGATGACTGCATCTTGACATCACTTTCCACCACCACCAAGAAAAATGTCTTTCTTGTTTGAATGAGTGGGGTTGGGTGCCCATGAGGAATAGCTGGGGAAAGGGGACTGAATGGTTACAAAATCACCACCCCTGTAGTGCGATAGCACATCTCTGCTGCCGTTTGGAGCTTGATTAGCTTCTGGCCTTAACTGCTGGATTTTGGGGCAAAAGGAACAGAAAGCTGCTCATCTAACCCAAAACCCATGATACAAAGGAGGAGGATTTTGTTTTTAAAAGACCACATGGTTTCAGGGTGGGCTGGGACATGTGTGCCTTGCCCTTCAACCCTAAGTTCACTTTTCATTCTTACGTGTTAAAATCTATTAGGGAGTCTGCCCATTTCACGAGTTTTGTGTGTGTCTGTGTGTGTGCATGTACCCCCCACAAGATTTAATAGGACCAGAAAAAGCACTTTTTCTTGGATCCTAATACACCCCTCCCCCCACTTGGACTCTTCACAAGCTTCCAAGCATATTCCGTGTTTAGAAGACCATAGTATTCTGGATTGGGGGAGGGTCTCTCTCCATACTACTGCAGCCCACTAAGGGCTCAAGCAGGCCAGGTTCCCCTCTGTTTTCTTTCTCTTTAAGTACACTCACCATTCCATACTGCCTGGGAGGTCGGTGAGCATGCTCACTGATCATCGTGCATAGTGTAATGTGTGTTGATTTACCAGCTAACGTTTTCTGCATGTTGAAGTTCTTTGGTTGTCATATCTCTTTAATAGAGGTCAAGCATCTGATACATCTGAAGCAGGATTTGTGGGAAAGTGCTGCTAAACACCCATTGTAACTGCACAGCCATCTCTGTGGGATGCCATAAATTGGGGGATGAGTATAATTAATGCCTTGTCTGAAAGTAGTGATGCTCATGATTGGCTGGAGGGAGGGGGAGACCGTGAGTCATGTTCTCAGTTCTGTTCTTCATAACTCCTTTATTTGGAAAAGCATTGAAAGAGTGATGTATGTATTCCAGTAAACTGACACCTTGATTTATATGTTTGGTTTCTATTTGGCATCATCAGAGCCTTCATTTGTAAGACTTGTTCTACTGTTTAGTCCAAGGGTTTTCAAAACATTTAAAGGATAAAATATGTCATAATGCAAAATATAAAACTTAATAAAATTAAATATGAAATTTTTGATAATCTACAGTAGTCTAACAAGAGTGATCAATTGTAAACCAGGGCAGGGAAGGTGGGATACACATTAATTAATTAAATTAATTAATTAAAACTCAGCCATCACCCCATCCAACAAATTACTTAACTAAACTGGAAGGGCCTTCTAAAGATCGGGAGATATTCAGCCGGGTCGGCTTCTCTTTGCAGGGATTCCATAGGGAAGATGTCAACTGAGAAGGCCTTACATTTCATTGCTACCTGTTAGGCTCAGGTGATAGGACATCCTACGGAGGGCCTTCTTTGAGGACTTTCAAATGAGTGTGTGTGTGTGGGGGGAGGTTGAAGAAGAGTGAGGAGGAGGAATTCCTGAGTCCTGCAGGGGCCAAACCAGTCATGATGGTGTCCATAGGTCTGACATGTAGATGCTGCTGCTATTTTAAAGGGAGCTGAGGTGCTTTTGTCTATCCCTGTATACCTTTTCAAGTGCCAAAACAGGTGGGGTGTAGCCATTTTGGTGCTTGAAAATGTTTGTGTGTGGGGGGGGAAGAGCACCTCAGTCTGCCGTGCTGTAGGCCTCTCATGACATTTTTAAGTCCCTTTAAAATTGTTGTGGGGTCCATGGGTCAGACCCGTGGACACTGTTTTATCTAGTTTGGCCCTGGGACTAGACTATTTAGTACCTCCATATAAGAACATAAGAGAAGCCAATGTTGGATCAGGCCAATGGCCCATCTAGTCCAACACTCTGTCACACAGTGGCCAAAAATACCAGGTGCCATCAGGAGGTCCAGCAGTGGGGCCAGGACACTAGAAGCCCTCCCACTGTTGCTCCCCCCCCCCCGGACCAAGAATACAGTGCATCACTTGCCCCAGCCTGAGAGTTCCTATCTATACCTTGTGGCTAATAGCCACTGATGGACTTCTGCTCCATATGTTTGCTTCACCACCTCCTGTGGCAGTGAATTCCATCTGTTAATCACTCTTTGGGTGAAGTACTTCCTTTTATCTGTTCTAACCCGACTGCTCAGCAATTTCATTGAGTGTTCTTCACATTTACTATTATCATCAAATGAAAATGGATTAGTCTACCACTGTAAATAGAAAATATTTTAAGTTGAGCACAGATCTGTGTCCTGAGATTCACTAACTTCACTGCCTGATTTCTGTCTTTTTAAAAGAGAAAAAAAGCTCCATCGTGATACCTTGTGGAAGAGCCTAGTATCTCAGCTAAATAGATTGATTTTTCAGTTAAGCAAACAGGATTGTAGATGCCTTTGATCTTGAAACCTTGATCTGATCATTGATTCTACACATTAAACATGCTAATGAAATGTGTGTTCATGGTTTCCAGGAGACAGGATTGTTTGCTCCTTCTAGCAGTTGTTCAACAATGCCTAAGATAACTTATCTGTGTTGGAGTGAATTCCCCCCCCCCTTTTGAAAGAATGTTCCAGTTTTATGTTCCGTTTCGTGTTTGGTTCTTTGGTGATATATTAAACCTTCCTTCTCTTTTTTCTCTCTCCAGGGTAACCAGGAGCCGACAGCCACTCCTGACACAATGGTCCAGCCATTCACCACAATCCCATTCCCACCTCCCCCACAGAATGGGATCCCCACAGAGTATGGGGTACCCCACACTCAGGACTATGCAGGCCAGACCAGCGAGCACAATCTGACAATCTATGGCAGTACACAGGCGCATGGGGAGCAGAACACGAATTCAGCTACCACACAGAATGGATCTCTTACGGTATGCGTTGCAAGGCATAAAACAGCAAAGTTCAGGGTTGCTGCTTTGAGATACAATTGCCTTTGTATTGGATCTGATGGCACCCGCAAAACCTTTTTATGATAGGTTTGGAAGGAGCACCTGTTGTTTTGGTTTGGAAGGAGTGACTGCTGTATCCCAAGCTGTGTTTTTCCTTTGTCTCGGTATCCTTGGTAAAAGCTGTGATCGAAGGAGATAATTCTTCCCAATCACTGCAGAGAGCAGATAAGCAGGGTCACATGAGCTGCTGTAGAACTGTTGAAAACTGGATTAATTAAGAAGATGTACATTAGATGTCTGAGAATCAGTCCATGTCGTTCTCCCTCTTCCCATTAATAGTTAAAATGTTTATGCCCAGTGAACCCCAAAGGCTGCTCCATACCTTGGATCAAGATGGCCAGGCATCTGAAATGTGCCACCCACATATGGGAGTGCCCAGACTCTCACCTCACCCTGCCTAATGTAAAGTAGCTGCTGTCTGTTGACTCTTATCGGAATAAGGGAAGCATGGTAAAGTAGTACTTATCAGTTTCAGAGGGCTACAGGGAGCTCATTATATGATCTCATTTAGGGGTCAAGGAAGCCTAAGCCATTCCAGTGTAAGAAACATGCCTCCAGATTTGATGACCAGACATGCCAGTTGTGAAATTATTCCAAGAAAACCAGTTCGATGGGAGCTTCTGGATTTTTGGGTGGGGGTGGGGGGAAACAACAGTGTTATAGGAAGAATTTGTTCCCTTTAGTGAAGCATTACAGCAATGATATGCATTTTAGGGTCATGATGAGAACTGATAAACCGCATGGTAAATAAGGAGACTCTCTGTCTGCGGTGCATCCATTTATTGATTGAATATTTTGCCTTTTTTCATTCTTGTTTACATCATTCTGTAGTTCTGAACTGGGCAGCATGCCTGCAGATTATACAAACGAAAGCTTTATCCACCCGTTAAGCCACTTGTTAAGTCTTAACTTCCTAATAAAGAGCATTATAGTTGGAACCTTGGGTGCACAGAGGTGGTTTTAATCTTTTAATGCTTTCAGTTCTCTTATAGTATGGCTGGTTCATAGCAGGTTTGTTTCCTTCATGAAAAACCCTTCATGAGTGCAGAAGTCTCGAACTTGATCATAGTTGCAGTTCAGATCTATATGGAGAGATGTGCTGGGTGTGCAGTGAGTAGTTGACAACGTGAATTGCAACTCTGAAATATGGTTGACCTTGCTTAAGCCACAAAATTAAGTGATCTGTTTTTTCCTGAAAGGAGCAAAAAGGCATCTTGGCCTCAGAAGAGCAACTTATGTACACTCAGTACACTCCAGCACAATCCTATGCATGCTTACTCAGAAATAGGTCTCACTACATTTACTGTTATTCATTCCCAGGTAAGTGTGCATAGGATCACAGTCTTAGTAAAATCCAGGGGAACCTGGGACAGGTCAAAGCTTGATTGGTGCCTTAAGTTCTGTATAGTAAGTTAGAGAGCAGTGTTGTTCATATTACACCAGCAAGTAAAACACTGTTTGACATCTTTTCCAGGTAAGTGTATGAGACCTACATTGTGACAATGGGAAAGAGAAGTGTGGGGAATGAAATCTGGATCACTTATATGGAAGTGCAGAACTGCCCATATGCGCATATGCGGGTTTCATCTTTGTCCAGACATGTTATTTAATAAACAGGGTCGGGGATGAATAATGTGAGCTGTGACCCTAGTCACCAGCTGCTGCAAGCCTCCTGTTCCTCTTCCATATTAGGAGCCATCTCCACTGTACTGCACAAAAGAACGCTGCATTTCCTCCACTAATACATTCATGCAGAAAGCTGATGGCAGTGAGAATAGGAGCTTATACATAGCAGCCTGTGAACTGAGGTTGTTAGAGTAGTCCCCCCCCCCCAAAAAAGGACATAACAATGCCATGTGTATTTAACAACAACAACACAGGGATGAGCTTTCTGAGAGCCTGCAAAATGATGTTGGAGGGCTGGGGTTTGAGTGTAGTAAATTGTTTTTGTAAAATCGGACAAGGACCCCCACACAAAAGGGGAAAAAGGATACCATTGCTGTTCAGAGATCTAGCCAGATACAAAGATGCAGACATGCCCAAGCCGGGCAAAAATTGTAGTGGTCTCCTACCTTCTCAGTTTCATTTTCAGGGTTCTTTCCC